CATCCTGGAACAAGCCCAGAATCTTAATTTAAATTTAATAATATGGTTTATAATGTAGGTTTATTGAGAAATTCCACTAAGATCAATTATTTCTGTGTGAATGAGGATAAAGTTGTTATCTTCTTTTTTTTAAAAAAAAAGGAGACTTGCTCAATTAAAGCTTGTTTTGCATGTTTTAATAGAAGAGTGATAATTTTGATGCATCTTTAGGTCTTCCAGCCACCAGATGGAACCATATTCCATCTGCTTTAAAAAAAATATTTGCATTACTCCTCCATTCCTATAGTGCATCCTTATGCTTACTTTTCAGTAAGCAAAAAGGACTTGCTACATTTTGTATGTATTTACACATAAATAGCTAGTCCTCAACTTATGACCACTACCTCCATCCTTCCAGGATTGTCCTTCCCCTCAGCCACCACCAATGTCCCAAAGTAGCATGGTAACTACTTTGGTAGTACATAGCTCTGGCTACCTAACCCCCATCTTCTCAGTACAGTCACTCCATCTCTCCTGTCAGTCACTGAGAGTGCTCTAGAATTATGATGGAGAACCTATGGCACGCATGCCACAGGTGGCATACAGATCCCTCTCTGTGGGCATGCCAACCATTGCCCCAACCCATCTCCACCACGCTTACATGTGCACCTCCGGCCGGCTAGCTAATCTTCAGGTCTTTGCCGCACATGCATGGGGGGGGTGCATGCAGGGGATGCACACGTGCATGCATAGGGAGCAGAGTACATGCAGGGGGAGGCGCACCCATTGCACATCGTTTGGGTCCTGGCAAGCCTACTGAACCAACCTGGAAGCCAAAAAGGGGGAAGGGGAGCACAGGGGGTTGCATACGCATGTGGGGGGAGGGTTGTGGGGCGTTCACACATGTATTGCATTATGGATGCGGGCACGCTGTTGCGCATGTGGGTGCTTTCAGCACACGACAACAAGTGTTAGCCATTGCTGTTCTAGAACATTCCCATCTTCCACCCCTGGTCTTCCCCCAAGCCTTCCTGCAGCCCTGCTCTCAATCCTCTAACATATTCTACCAGCCTAGCCCACTCCTCCAACTGACACCTCTCCAGTAATTTCCCTCTTCTCCTCCTAGTTATCATCACTTTCTGTGTGAGGCACATCTCATTCTGCTCAAAAGTTTCTGTTTCCTTTCCTGCACAAACAAATGCATTTTGTTTCAGGTATGGATCATCCAAACAGCTGTTCTGAACACCAACAAGTTTTCTGAATCCCTAGTAAAATGTAGCTAATTACTTCCTTTTTTTTTATTTACATACCAGCAATCTTTATGTTACAAATCTGAACTCGAAACTTTACAGTGAAAGTCAATTATTGTTGTACCGCAATTTTGAGGAGTTTTGCGGCATGCCAGACTGCAACTTAAGCATCTCTCTGAAAGATTAAAATGACCGCAACTTTTTATTTCTCTCACTGGTGACAGATATTAGGGAAGAAATACATTCTCCTAGTTCCTGAATATACACGAAATCTTCTATTAATTGAATATGTTGGCCATATAATTTTACTGAAAGGCTAGCTTAATTCCAAGTGAAATGGACCTGAAATTATGGAGAAATGTTGTTAAAAACACCCACAAATAAGTCTGAAAACTGCCGAAATAAATACACACAGAGACACAATTGTATGAATATATACATTAATAATATGCCAATATAATCAATTTAAATAAAATTCTTCCCCACCCCACCCCAATACCTCGGTTAGGTAGTAGCAATCTTCAGCAGAGCATTCTGCTTTGCTAGTTGGGTTACTGAGTGCAAAAATTATTGGCCGTTTATTGAAGGAAGCCATATTCTTGATAATATTTTTTGTAAATGCACCAGCAATTGCAGCGACTCCTATGCCAGACAGAGATATAACAGAATGTTACGGAATGTACAATATTCATCACTCTGAAAGAATATTCTGCAAATGTATTGAAAAACAATTTCATTTAGTTATATTTCTGCTCCATTTTTTTAAAAAGATAAAAATGACAAGACGGAAGGGCCATTTTAAATTACATTACTACATGTAGCATCATTACCATCTTCACCCTCACAATATGTTTACTCCTCCCGGTGCCAAAGGAAAATAAATAATATAGGTTAGGCATTGCCATGGTGCAGTATTTCTCAATATTAGCAACTTTAGGATATGTGGACTTAAACTCCCAGAATTACTGGCTGTTAAAGTAAATATGGCAACTTTGATATAGGCATTCTTTTTACCACCACTATGTTTTCTGTAACTGGAAATATTTTTGTGAGAGTATAAAATCTAAAATAGTATGCCAGTTTATTCTTGAACAAATGTCATAGCCCTCTAGTGAAAGGCAGGCTGCATAAATGCCCAGTGCATTTCTTTATTTTTACTCAGATGTTTCACTGAATATGGTAATAAAATTCTCCCACTGAGAAATATAAAAGTTTTTACAAGGAAGGGGTTCCCCCCCCCCCAAACAAAAAGAATAAAGTATTCTGAAATATTCCTGACATTGTTGGAAGTATTTTCATTGGAATTTTGGCTCTTAAACTACTTTGTGCTATATCTTTTTCATTTCAAGTAAACTGATGCAAGGAAAGTTTCTAATGGATCATGTTGAGAACAAACCTCAGAATCGGAAACAATTTTAGCCATTTTCAGATGAGCTTTTAATGAGCTATGCACTTGTTTCATTATGAAACTTTCAAGAACAATCCAGATAACATCACCACTTAATCTAGATTGCTGTTTGTTTGTTTTTTAAAGACATCCAGCATTTTTCCCTTCTCTTTTAATGGAAATAAAAGACAAACTTGAAAACAAATTGCAAATATTTGATGAAATGGCTCATATAACCATTCTGATAGTTTGATAAGTTTCTATGGCCTACATTTTTTACCTATTGAAATTATCTTGAAGAAACATTTTCCAATGCACAGTGATCTTTTTATCATAATTCGTAATTTAATTCGTAATTTAATGAGCTTATATGCCGCCCAATCCCAGACGACTCCAGGCGGCTTACAAAATACGAGATAAAATAAAATAACAAATAGGGGGAAGAGACAAAAACAGTTTAAAAAACACAACATACATTTGGTTTAACTGGGGGTTGGACCTGATTTATAAATCAACAACCCCAGGCCTGCCGGAACAGCCAGGTTTTGGTGGCTTTT